TTGGCGCTCGCAATACTGTAATGTCTCCTTTACTGACGCTCAGTTTGTCCACTAAAATGGACAATTTGGGCGAGAGGAGATACGATTGTTCGAGCCTTGCGGCTCGCTTTTATAAATGTGGACAATTTATAACTATAACAATAAACCGCAAGCCTCGAATAATCGTATCTCCTCTCTTCCCAAATTGTCCATTTTAGTGCGCAATTTGGGCGTCAATTAGAGAGACATTACTGTAGTCCAAATCGATCACTGCGATCACCGCTTCTCACCATGCGCCTATTTTAGATACAACAATTTCTGTTCGACAAAAGAATTGGTTAAATCTTTAGTTAGCATTCGCTGATCCTCACGAGTTTGAAACCAAACATCTACAATTTTTCCTTTTGCGTTGCCATAAAACTTCACAACATTACTCGATCATTTTACATCAAAGCCACCGATCGCTTTGGTTGACTCCGACCTGAAACAGAATCTGTCCCGATCTAGAAAAATTCGTTTACTATCAAAAAATCGCGAACACTTTTGTTAGATGTATGTATTCGATTTCAGCTCTTAAATTAAAAAATATGTTTTGCATACATTGTGCATCCGACGATAATTATTCGGAACACAGCTTGGTAAATAAGAATTTAATCGTTCTTATCTGCTAAGTTCTTATACTATCTTGTACGACCGCAGCATTTTATTAAACGTTATGTCATCAAGTTATGATAAACGCGGAGACGTCAAGAAATAAACAAAATATTTTCTCGTTCGTAATTGTTCTGCTTCGGAGACCTTGTTTGCAACTAAAATCTGAGCCTTGGAAGAAGATACATATCTTCGGGTGTACCCTTTCTTTCCACAAAGAGAGACTACAAGCGTCGGAACGCAACGAAAATTATGGTACTGTCGAGGCGTTCGCCAAATATCAGCTAAATCGTTCATAAGACCGTGGCGTTTCACTGAATGGTGTACATATGTGTACATTGTTTTTCTACCTTCCTTTTTCTCTTTTTTTTGTATCATATCATACATCCACAACCTTGGACAAAAATCCTAGCAAGACTAACAAGCGAGCCTCAAGGCTGTGCAACTCATCTATGTAAATAACTGTTTATTTAAGACGGCTTTTTGTACAGCTTTATTATGCCGGAAACTGTTCATTAATATTCTAGCTCAAACAAACAAACAAGTTCTGCCACACTGTAATCTTTTCACCCGTTTGTTTCCTAGTTTCTCCGTTGGTCTTTCTACGATTAAGAACTATGAAACCAGTCGAGACGACTTTCAAATTTCTCATTTTTCAACTATTACAAATTATACGCTCGCTTTTACCGGGAATTATTCAATCACGGAAAACTCTGTCCGACGCTTTGGCCAGCAATGTCATGGACATTATAGTAAATTCTCCCAATTTTTCTTCAACTTGTAAACAAAAATCGACAATTTGGGAAGGAGAGTTAAGACCTCGTTTTTATAATCGTTGACAATCGGCGAGGCCGAATAATTGTACCGCGAGGCTTGAATAATCTTCTCTTCTGAAATTTTCCACTTTTTGCTTACAAGCTGAAGGAAAATTAGGGAGAACTCACTGTACTTTGGAGAAGGGTACAGTAATATGTCTCCCTTACTGACGCTCAGATTGTCCACTAAAATGGATAATTTGGGAAGAGGAGATACGATTATTCGAGCCTTGCGGCTCGTTTTTATAATTGTAGACAATTTATAACTGTAAAAATAAACCGCAAGGCTCGAACAATCGTATCTCCTCTTCTGAAATTTTCCACTTTTTGCTTACAAGCTGAAGGAAAATTAGGGAGAACTCACTGTACTTTGGAAGGGTACAGTAATGTCCCATTACTGGCGCTCAGATTGTCCACTAAAATGGATAATTTGGGAAGAGGACATACGATTGTTCGAGCCTTGCGGCTCGTTTTTATAATTGTAGACAATTTATAACTGTAAAAATAAACCGCAAGGCTCGAACAATCGTATCTCCTCTTCCCAAATTGTCCATTTTTGTGCGAAATCTGGGCGTCAATTGGAGAGACATTACTGTATTTCTCTGTCGTTGTTCGCCCTATCAACCATCGTTACACACTTCTGTCGAAGAGCACGGCGTGCCGGGGAAGTAGCTTAATCGATTTGAACATTCACCTGCAATTAACGAGGCACGTGTCAGATGGAACGAGCCAAGAGTAACACTGTCCATCAACGTGTCTTATAAAATTCGCACGCTCGCTGCATCTGCAGTGTCCGTACGCCGCTCCTTCCCCTTTCCGCCGCGCCCTCCCCTCATCCATCATGAGTTTAAGTTCTGTTTTAATCGTTGGCCTGGTGTGTCCGTGGGATTATGCAACCGTGCACAGGTATCAATAATGTTATGAAAAACGTGTTACCGGTGTTGAACCGAGATGTCAGTCGCGGTCAAGGCGACCATGTCCAGAGTTCAGATTGACACTTCCGTGCTGGTGGATGTGGTTCCCCGTTCACTTGAACACGTGTCACGGGTATAGAATTACTGGAGATCAGTACGCGATTCAGAATTAGCTTGCAGATGTTATTAAAGCGCACGAACAAAAGATTTTCATAAAAATATACGCAGGAGATCGTTGCGTATAATGCTGAAATAGCAGCGCGAGAGCCGATGATTTATTGTTCATTTTTTGGATATTCATCTGATCGAATTAGCAAATTCGGAGATTGTGATTGTTACTCGTCGATTGTCCAGAAGTACGCGATAATATTTTTATAATATTATATATTATGTTATATAATATTATATAACATTTGTACGCGTGAATTATGATTCTGTACGTAGTTCCAACACAGTTCTATCCGATCGTAGTTTGCGCAGGCAAGCGAATTCTTTCGAATCGTCTGAAATTACGTTCGAGCTAATCAAAATTGAATCAACTTAGCTCCACGATGAGGTAATATCTGTAGAGGATGTCCGTTAAATTTAAAGGAATTCGGATGATCCGGTTTACGATTGTTGCCAAAGATATTGAAAAATATTCCTCGAAGCCATCGAATTGAAATAAACGGCGCCTTATGTAAAGCGTTTGCGACAGGATAAAGTTCATCGAGTATATTCAACTCGCTCGTCATTTTGCTGTTTATTCAGTCATCTTGATAATTTATAATCTATCACGGTCTATAAAACTTCGTATGGTTGCAAAAACTATGTTCGATCCGATTGCATGAGATATTACGCGACAAAAAGATGAATTTACAGCCTTACCAGCAGTTTTTATCGATCATTTTCGAACCGGCGAGTCTCGCAACAGAGTTTCACACTGTGCGCTGGCTGTCTAAATCTTGATTAGTTTGCGAGTTGAATTTTCTATAGCAACATACTTTACTGGTCGATACAATAATCGCGTTAGTCGCGAATATATTCGAGCCAACGATGTTCTGGTAGCTTTAATATATTCGTTAAATTATCTATTTTTAATGAAACAATGAGGAGCTCGAACGGCGCCCGTATAATTTTTGTCACCGTCGCTGATCTTCGGTACCGATAGATATAGCGTACTCAAGTAAAACGAGGTTCGCATTTGGTGAAGTGTGAAAGTATAAGCGTTTGAAGTAAAAGTTTGAGAAAGTTCGCGATCGGTCTTGAACTCTCGCCGGGTATTTGGTCGAGTAGGCGTTTCATTGCTTCGACATCGATTTTTTAAATTACGAATTGTTTAATTCGCGTACAAATCAGCCGACGAGGTCTCATGGAACTCGAAAAAAAAAAAAAACAAGAACGAACGACTTATAGGATAGTAGAGCCGGTTACCGTGGGGCGGTCAATTGCTGCGGCTTCTGTTTGTTATCCGGCATAATTTACTGTATATTTATCGAATAAGACGTATTAAATTTTTGAACGAATAAATTTGTGTTATATTACACACGATTATAATGTAAAAGAAACCAAAAGCCACAGCAATTGGTCGTCCCGCAGCAATCGGCGCCATTACCCTGTACAAATATATACACACACATATGTATTCCGTTTCTTAAATTAGAAACCTTTCGGTGGAGATTAACGCCTCGATAAGAAAGTGCGAGATATATTTCAACAATGTTGAAGATCTTGCAAGAGGATTGTCGTCAATCTTTAGATAGCGTATTTCGGGATTATGTAAAGCTTATCCATGTTAATTGTTGCTCAAAATGTAGATGTATGGACATCGTGCATCTTCTATACCAAAGGAACGTTAATTACTAAACAAATTTTATACAAACGAATAGGTTGAACGATTTCATTCGTGAAATTATTATCTTCTCCTTCGAAAGTCGTTCTAAATCGCAGAAACGAATCGGAATGAACAGTTTTCGAAGAGCTTTCCACCACCGCCCTTGTTTTTTTTCGATATTTCGAATTTAACCCTTTGTCGGAGAATCGCGTGCTCGAATAAAAGTAATACTTCTTTACAACCGAAACAAATCGCATCCATGTACCATCCATACGCATACATTTAATCCAATCCTTGGAAACGGTCGCGATTTAGACGCGAATATCGCTGTTATTTTTTCTTTTTTTATCAAAATTCCGGATAATCGGCGCATCAATCGTATCAATTCAACGGCAACGATTGAACGTTAGCGCGGTACGTCATCATCCTTTTCACACGACGAGAAAATCCATCGATAACGATTCCATTCGATCGTCGGCTGTAGCCTCATCCGCTAATAATAAAACATTTTTCAGTTGTAAATATTGAAATCCATTCGGCGGACAAACATTATCATCAGCGATACGACATTTTCGCCGATAACACAACAAAATTCGTCGATCGTGTCGTCGCGGATCACCCGCCGGACGAATTATGTCATCAACGTTTTATTTTTACCGTTTTGCATGCACCTGCAAATTATTCCATCGTGTGTATCGATGAGACCACTTTGCATGCTTTTAATAAACGATGGAGTGATTTTTGTTACTTAATTTCGAATCGATTTTTAAGTACGCCCGTTACTTTTTCTGCGACCGCATGTTAATTCCGATTCTGAAATGTATCCAGGTCATGAACCAAGAAGTCAAGAAGGAGACTCCGTTGCAGTTCAAATTCCGTGCGAAGTTCTATCCCGAGGATGTCGCGGAGGAATTGATCCAGGATATTACGCTGCGGCTTTTCTATCTCCAGGTTTGAAACAAAAAAAAAACAGTTTGTCGGTCGTCGCTTCCTTCTTTTTTCGCGCGCAGCGGAATCGGGGGTTTGTGAACGTAATACGAACGGATCGAACGAAATCTAATTCCCAACCGGACGATCCTGGCTCGAACTTAACCGAGAACGATGCGAGAAACGATGCATGGAAACTTGTGAGAACTTGTAATTCGCGGCACCGAGACAACGGTCTCGTAAGTAATGTAAACACCACGGCGAAAACCGTGGACGAAACGATATTGGGTAATGCTCAAACAATTAGATAAAGGGAAGAGATAAACTGGAAAAGTCGTTTGAACGAAAGAAACTATTTCTGTCCTCGATTTGCCGTGAGATTTGAACGTCGTTTCGAAACGTACGTGTACAACAGAGAAGTAGATCAAACTGATATTTTGAGTGAAGTTTAGTAGGTTTTTTTTTTATTGTATGGAAATGAGTAAAGTGCAATATTTATAGAGGGCGAGAATCGGTGTATAGTCGGGGCAAGTGTATGTAAAAAGGTTACCAATGTATAATTAAAGCGGTTTCGGTAAATGTATGTACTCGGTTTGTAATATCTCTGACAACTTCGTTATGATTATTACTGGGAAGCAAAATTAGTGAGATTAAAGTGAGAAGCTTGTGCAACCTTGTCATGATTTTTACCACAGAAATTTAGTAAATAGAATTAGAAATTCGCAAAGTGTATGAAAATATTTATAGATTTACAAAACCACCAGCTAGAAGGAAAACTAATCTATAAACGAAAGAAGATTGGAGCTATTAGAGCTACTAGAAGAGATATTAGAGCTTCGAGAATTAAAATATGATAGCGCTTTTTGATAATAATTCAGTAACACTATGTATATCGTATGGTATCTATTACATTCGGTAAGAGGTTTAAGGAAGATTATGAGAAATTGACGGTCTATTATCCAACTACTCGCTATTGGTAATAGAATTGCGTTATGGCTCAACAAGGCTGAGTTCATAACAGCACATTATTATTCAATTCATTTTGTGTCCTATTGTAGTGCGAAAAGTTAGAGAAGTGTTATTGCACGTGTCACTTCTCATTACTTATCGATAATTAAAATATACAGAATGAGAAAGGAGACTGAACATTTATTTTTCATGCGTTTTAGGTAAAAAATGCAATCCTTACGGACGAAATATATTGTCCTCCCGAAACATCTGTACTGTTAGCTTCTTACGCAGTCCAAGCAAGACACGGGGATTTCCAAAAAGGCACCCATATCGCTGGTTTCCTAGTAAATGATCGTTTACTGCCGCAACGTGTTGTGGACCAACACAAGATGAGCAAAGAGGAATGGGAAAGTTCCATCACTAATTGGTGGCAGGAACACCGCGGTATGTTACGCGAGGATGCTATGATGGAATATTTAAAAATCGCTCAGGTAACGATACATATAATATTTTATCTGTCAAAAGATCATCAAATCGTATCTGTCTTAATATTAACGCGATCGCATATATTTGTTTATGTCTAGGATTTAGAAATGTACGGAGTGAATTATTTCGAAATTCGTAACAAAAAGGGTACGGATCTCTGGTTAGGTGTTGACGCATTGGGTTTGAACATATACGAGAAGGACGATAAGCTAACTCCAAAAATTGGTTTCCCATGGTCCGAGATCCGAAATATCTCGTTCAACGACAAGAAGTTTATAATTAAGCCGATCGACAAGAAAGCGCCGGATTTCGTATTTTTCGCGACTAGAGTTAAGATTAATAAACGAATTCTAGCACTGTGCATGGGAAATCATGAACTCTACATGCGTAGACGCAGACCGGATACGATCGACGTTCAGCAAATGAAGGTGTGTTTCAGTTTGTGTCCCGTGCTATTTTTATAACACAAATCTGTCGATAACAACGAAATTTATTTACAATGCTCAGGCTCAAGCAAAGGAAGAAAAGATTGCGAAGCAGCAACAGAGAGAAAAGTTGCAATTGGAGATAGCTGCGAGGGAACGCGCAGAAAAGAAGCAACAAGAATACGAAGAAAGACTTAGAAATATGGCGGAAGAAATGGATAGGCGGCAAGCCGAACTGAACGAGGCACAGGAAATGATTCGACGTTTGGAAGAACAGCTGAAACAATTACAAGCTGCCAAAGAAGAATTAGAACATCGTCAGAAGGTAAGCGATAATCTATTATTATTAATTGGAATGACAAAAAAAAAATAAAAAACTTATGTTCTTCAACATTTTTATCTCTGAACCTATAATTTAAAAAATGCGTTTTGTAGATCTCTCCTTATTCAAATAAGTTGCAATATTCGAACGTAAACAATCGTCTATTTTTGTCTGCAGGAACTGACAGCTATGATGGAGAAACTTGAACTTTCACATGAAATGGAGGCTGCAGAGCGTGCCAAGCTCGAACAAGAAATAAGAGCCAAACAAGAAGAGGTGCAACGCATTCAGTCCGAAGTTGAGGCGAAGGATGCAGAAGCAAGAAGACTACAGGAGGAATTTGAAGCAGCCAAGTATGAGGAATACTTTGTTTTCATTTCCTTTTATTTCTAATCGCGTGAATTTCGGCACTAACTAACTAACGTTATTTTCAACCGAATAAAATAATTAAAGAATGGAAGAAATGTCTATGTAGCTCACGTATTTTACATTTAATGTAAATCATTTTTAGTCTGCATAAAAATCCGCAGTCTACTAATGATCATTGAATTTTAACTGGATGCCTTTGTCAAATAGATTGAGACAAGAAGAAGCCGATAGAGCATATCAGAATAGTAGTGCAACACCGCATCATCATCATGTTGAAGAAAATGAGGAAGGCGAAGAAGATGGCGAATATGATTATATTACTCACGGTGACGTTACTAAGGATCTTGCAACTGACGAATCAATAATTGACCCGGTTGAAGAACGGCGCACCTTAGCAGAAAGAAATGAGCGTCTTCATGATCAACTTAAGGTATTTTTTCTAAAATTTTTATTAGAGATGTTGAAAACGGATACAAATTGAAAGAAGTAGTAGAATAGAAGAAGAAAAGGAAAATATAGCTTGCAATAGATGGAATAGAAAATTTTCATCACTTTAACAGAGTTAAAAAGAGTCTATTTATTAGTCTGTTGTACATGTATTCTAATCCAACAACTTGTTTCAGGCTCTAAAGAAGGATCTTGCGCAATCACGCGATGAGTCGAAGGAAACCGTTATGGATAAAATTCACAGGGAAAACGTGCGTCAAGGTCGTGACAAATACAAAACTCTACGTGAAATTCGCAAAGGCAATACTAAGCGTCGTGTTGATCAATTTGAAAACATGTAAATTATATACTCGTTTGCCTACATGCCTGCCTGACCATTTCATCCTGCCGGGAAAATGCTGTTCCATCTTTTATGAACTCAGTATAATTATTATACCATGTACATGAAAAACGTGCCGTCTTCCATGTATACTTCCACATAATTGAGCAGTTTCTCGCGAAAATAAATGTTTATATATATTTTTCATCACGTTTTCTTGCTGTTTTAGCTGGAGAATATTTAAATATTAATATTAACGATACTTCATGATGATAACTTCGTTATTTTTAACTATATTGTTAGCTAATGTTGTTTTTTCTTCTCTTCCCTTTTTTTCTGCTAAAATAACAAGAAAATATGTTACCGTGGTTTGTGAATATTATTTTATTTTTCCAAGAACTTTTAAACACCGGCGCGCCAGTATTTTTTTTTGTCAAAGTATTACATACTGTCGGTCACCGAGCGAAATGCCGCACATACATACGTTGACAGTTTGTTTGCTGGTTACCTTTTTGTCGCGGTTCTTATCACGTCGTTGCGTATTCTCCGTCCTTGATAAGGATTTGTACCAAGAAATTTTTCGTATTGTTGTAATATGTGTCATCAGAGAATTATTTTTGTCAATAGCGGTCGCTTATACGTATTTACCACTTCGATTCTAATTCGTTATTGTACCATTTACAGTATTTAGAATAGAAGCAATAGAAGATGTAATATGTTCAGACGACATCGAGTGTTCAGTATTTACTCCCTAGTGGGTTACAAGTAACTACGTACATTGGCCTAAAATAATGTAAAAGCGACAGTTTTCTATACAGAATGACACCAGAGTAGCGTCACCAAATTTACTGTTGTATTCTGCACCCGGAAACTAGTACACATCGCTTTACGAATATACCATCAAAGTTTATTAACTTTTGAGATACAGATATTTTTACCATTCGGACGATGATGCTCGAGTGCATTTGGAACCTTACTGTAGGTGTAAGACGCTCACTTCTTCGTTGCTTGAGACCGTTCGTCACGTGTTTATGTTAAAGCGACAAGGAAGTTAGTAATCTCGGAGAAGTACATCCTACGTATTATGCCTTGTATAGTCATTGCAAAGACTCACAGATTTTATAGAGAAAATCGTGCTTTCACAAGTTTGTCAGATAGTCCATCGTCCGATTGTTAATTACTGTAACATATTTGATTTATTATAATTACTTACGTTTACTATGATATATATAGTATACATTGACGGTATCCGCTACGTTAAAAAAATATGTTTAGAAATTTGAATAAAACATTTGCCATGGTTGTAATACTTCATGAAATGAGTCTGTGGTATTCCTATCAGCCAGACTATAGACCATGAACATATCCACTGAATTAACATTTGAGACTGCCAGTAGCTATTTCTGATAAACAAGTGATTTTTCAAAAATCATTTCAAGAATATTTCATTAAATTTCGTGATGCTTCTTTTCCGTTCGTATGCATATGCAGAATGTCTCGCTTAATTGAATGTAATTATAAGCACGAATTGTATGATGTCAAATAGAATGATATTAGAGACTTGTTGTTCATTTGGGTGCACTTTGTAACTGCTATTATACCGCCAGGAATATGAAAATAACTCAAAATACAAAAAAGCTGAAAGTATTTTCTTTTTTTTTTATACTATTACAATTTTGCGAGACACACTGTATACGAATAAAAAATTACGTACTTAAATAACTTAAATTAACACAACTAAAAAACTTGTTGTTGAAAAGTGAATAATATATAGAATGTTATGAATTGAATGTTAAAAAGTGTATAATATGTAGCAATCTGCTATGCTATAAGGATTTTTAAACAATTCTCTTTCTTAAAAAAAATGGAAAAAAGATGAAAAAGTGTGCAAAAGTTTTGATAA